ATAAAGACTACTATAATAAAAAATTATATATATATAAAATATTAAAAAATATAAAAAAATCTATAATATATATAAAAGCCTTGTCACAAAAATAGCGTTATGTTCTCACTGTCACACTTTTCATTTCATCTATAATATAAAATTTAAAAAATCGTTAATTTTGAAAAATGCCTGGGGCCAATCGACAAGAACTTCGCATACTTATTGGACTTAGGTTCGAATCCCGGCAAATGTTATTTTTTCTTAATTAAAATGATTTTTTTTTCTTAATCTGACAAAATTAATCAAATAGAAGATACGACTCAAAGTTTGTAGCTACTTTAAAATTCAAACTATTAAATAGGTATTCTGATATTTTAAAATTTTTTACATTCTTTTTAAAAATCACCATAGAATCATATTAAACATTCATTCATTTTCCAATACCAACTAACCGATAAATCAAACTGAACTGAAAATAATTGATAATAGATATTCCACAATTATACATAATTTACAATTTATATATATATTATTATAATTTATATAATTAATTTTCATTTTTTTAGAAGGTACACGAAACAAAATTTTCATTTTTTTTAGAAGGTACATGAAAAGGTTATAGGCAATGGTAAATTTTTTGATTTAATTACAATTTTATTATATTTTTAGATTCCTGCACAAGATACCATTCAACAAAAAGATACTGAAAATCAACAATCAAATTGTAGTACTAAAAATCAAGTGCAATGTATTATTGTTTCAAGATCCTTAACAGTAAATTTTTTTTCAAATTTAGACATAACTGATACATTATATTATATTTGTAGATTCCTGCCATTCAACAAAAAGATACTGAAAATAAACAATCAAATTGTAGTACTGAAAATTAAGAGCAATGTATTATTTCAAGATCCTTAACAGTAATTTTTGTCTCAAATTTAGACATAACTGATTAAGTGTATATAAGTTAAAATATTTTTAAATTTTAGCTGCCAGGAAAGTACAGTAAATTTTTGGCTAATATGTTATTAAAATTTAAAAATATATAACTATTAAATAGTTTGAATTTTAACTTATATACACTAAAAAGTTATACATAACTTATTTTTGTAAATTATCATTTTTAGCCTCTATAGAAGAAAATCCAAGGAGTTGTATGTTATAATAATGATCCGTTATGTCTAAATTTGAGACAAAAATTAACTGTACCTCCTGGCAGCTAAAATTTAAAAATATAAGAATACCTATTTAATAATAACTTTTAAGTGTAAATAAGTTAAAATTCAAACTATTTAATAGGTATATATTTTTAAATTTAATAATATATTAACATAAGGAGAAAGCCAGACGGAGACAGGAACTTTGTCGAAGCAAGAAAAGACAAAAGCAGTCTTATTGCATCAATATCAAAGTGTATAGTACTGAAAATCAAGATCAATGTAATATTGTTTCAACATCCTTAACATGTCTTAAATTTAATTTTATATTTAGAATAAAATTTAGATTTTTGATAGAAATCATATTGGGTAAAATATAAAATAGATATGCTTGAAAATTTTTTAATTTTAAATATAGGCTAGACATCTGAAAATTTTTTTTTAAATAACCAGGCCTGATTAAAAAACCAAGCCAATGCAACTTCATTGATTTTATTTTTAATTGAATTATGACTTTTATACATTTTATTTTAGTTCTCAAATAACAAAATTATTATGGTCTTTGGTGGGCTTGAGAAAATTTTGCCAACAATATGGTTTTCAGAGATTTACCTATCTCCAGGCTTGAGAAAAATTTGCAAAATTATTATGGGTGCCAGGTTTGAGAAAAAAAATTTCAGGCCAATGTCTGGTCCATATTTAAAATTAAAAAATTTTCAAGCATATCTATTTTAAATTTTATCCAATATGATTTCTATCACAAATTTAAATTTTATTCTAAATATAAAATTAAATTTAAAATATTATTAAATTACAATAGAAATAATGGCAAAATTTTATGAAAGTTGCATGGGACTTGGTTTTTTGATAAGGCCTGGTTATGTTTGCAAAAAAAAATTTCAGGTCAATGTCTACCCCATATTTAAAATTAAAAAATTCCCAAGCATCTCTATTTTAAATTTTATTCAATATGATTTCTATCACAAATTTAAATTTTATTCTAAATATAAAATTAAATTTAAGACATTATTATTAAATTACAATAGAAATAAATGGCAAAATATTGGGAAAGTTGCATGGGATGTGGTTTTTTGATCAGGCCTGCTGTGTCTGCAAAACAAAATTTTGAGACCAATGTCTAGCCTATATTTAAAATTCAAAAATTTAGAAGCATCTCTATTTTTAATTTTATCCAATATGATTCCTATCACAAATTTAAATTTTGATATTTCTAATACCATTAATGCTCACGGGTTACATTGCAACAATTTTATCTCCTTTTCTCCTAAATTTTACTATAAAGCATATTTAGTACCATATAAACAAACTAACTAATTACCCCTCAACCCCGTCATTCTTGACGGGTTATTAGCTAGTAGATATATAAATATTATGTCAGAGTTTATCAATAAACCAGACAAATTTTGATATTACTATGCCACTCAAGAAATATATCATTTTAATTTTTTTATTGGAATTAGTTAATTTTATTTTATTATACTAATTTTATAAATTTATTTTAAATTAATATTAATAGTGATGAAGAGGAAGAGGAAGAATAATCAATGAAGCAGCAACAAGTTCAGACATTGTTTTCATGGCCAATTTATAGAGCATATTTTAAAATAATATCTCAAAATAAAGAAAATAGATCTCTGATAGTAAAATGTTTGTCATATCTACAAAAAAATACGAAAATTTCACTTAGCATTACCTCAACTTGCAGCATTGTAAAACATTTAAGGGTATATACTAAATAAATTGTTTACAATTGTAATTTTCAATTTTAAGAGGAAAATTCAAACACTGTTAATGAAAAAAACAATTAATACAAAGATTATCAACTGAATGCAAACAAATATCCTGCGAAAAAAAACAATTAAATTGTATTTAATTTTTTTCAGTACCCCACAGCAGCAGATATGATTGTTAATAATGATTTAAATTTTGATACTCATCAAATTTTAAATAATTTTTTCGAAAATAAATGCCCAGATTTTAATATTTTTAAAGATATCCTGATATAAAATTGTTATTCATAAAATATAACACCATAATCCCTTCAAGTGCCCCGGTAGAAAGGCTTTATAGTGTTGCTAAAAATGTCTTTACGGATTAACGGGGATGCCTTAATGACCAAAGTTTTGAAAATATTTTATTACTGAAATCTAATAATTATTTATTTATAATCATTTAATCATATATTTTCATATATTATATTATTATATTAAAATCTAAAAATCATTATTTTAATTTTGATAAATGTGATATCTAGTCAATAAAGTTTTTAGCTCATTTCATACATTTTCACAAGAGATAATTTAGGTTTGTGCAAAGCTTATATAAGAGTATTAAAAAATTGTATCTGTATCAAGATACATTTTAAAAATTGTATCTGTATCAAGATAACTTTTTTGCCGATGTATCTGTATCTAGATAACTTTTTAGACTATGTATCTGTATCTAGATAACTTTTTAGACTATGTATTTGTATCTAGATCCATTTAAAGATGTAATAAAAAATAAATTATTTTGAAATTTTAGCATATTTTTTATTTGTAGAAATAGTAACAAATTCTAAAGTAGCTTAAAAAGTAACTAATATCTGCTACTTTTAAAAGTAGTTCTTAACAACACTGCATATTTGTAATGAGCATAATATAATATAAAATTTTAATAAAAGCAAAACACCAATATTTTTTTTATCTATTTGTAGAATGATAATAAACTCGATTATATTTAGTGTAAAACTATATTGAAAAATACCAATTTTTATATTTAAATAATTTTTATTTTGAATCGGGTTTTTCAAGACAAATAAAAAAAAATTGATTGGGATCGGGCGGAACAATTTTAATAAATAATTTAGGGCCGAGCCAGGCTCAAAAAATTAGACCCCATGAGAGTCAAATTTTATTCACTTTAACCTATAGTTATAATTTTAATTATTGGTATCTGATTTACTTTATTATATAAAATAGTGCAAATAACGAATAAAGAATATTCTTTTGGTTTCCTTAAGTGAGAGTTGCTAATACAATAAACTCATGATTACAACCTGTGTGAAAATTCCAACAAATTTCGTATAATTTTTATAAATTAGATAATTTTGGCTATTTTAATAGCCTAATAATATTATTAGTTCATTCGCAATCTTTAAAAAGAATTACAGCTATCAAATTATTTTAAAATACATTATGGGCTCTTTAGATTGATATGAATCATTTATGAAAAATATTTTTTTATAAATATAAGTTCTATAATCCCGTTATAATATAAAAAATTACATAAGTTTTGATTCCTCCTTGGAATAAAGATCCAAGCATCATAAAAATATTTAATAGTGAAGTGGAGTAGTTAACAATAATATTTTATAAATTCCAACAAATTTCGTATAATTTTTATAAATTAGATAATTTTGGCTATTTTAATAGCCTAATAATATTATTAGTTCATTCGCAATCTTTTAACATTGTTTTCGTAGGGTCAACAGCTTACATCTCCTTAAAAATTAACAGAACCTATACCCGGACCTTAAGACCGAACTTACAGCCAACCCATTTCTAGAACCTAATTTAATTTTTAAATCTTACCTGAACCAACCTTCTTTAAAATTTTGAATTTTGACGGGCCAGACATTGAAACAGTGATCGTAAAACAATGTTTTATTAAAATAATGTTTTACTTTACCATAAACTATAATAAAAAAAATATAAAGTTTTTATTAAAAAAATATGTTATATAAATACAAATTATATAAATTAATTATTATTATTATAATTGTAAAAATATACATATTTAGTAATCAGAATTATAAATAGTTATTTAAGAAACAATAATAATTTTAATTTATTTTTCACGGTTTTTATTTAAAATATATTTGATATTATAATAATTTGATTAAAAAAACAATTAAAAGCATACGATATTGCACGATATAGATTTTAAAAAAGAATTACAGCTACCAAATTATTTTAAAATACATTATGGGCTCTTTAGATTATCGATATGAATCATTTATGAAAAATATTTTTTTATAAATATAAGTTCTATAATCCCGTTATAATATAAAAAATTAGTTTTGATTCCTCCTTGGAATAAAGATCCAAGCATCATAAAAATATTTAATAGTGAAGTGGAGTAGTTAACAATAATATTTTATAAATTCAACATATAAATTAACTATAAAATTCCATTGGTGTTGTAATGAATTACCAATTAAATTAATTTTTAACAATGATTTATATAAATGGAACACTGGTTAAGCTATGATATCCCAATTTATGTTGTTGGTGTTGTTTGTTTTGCTGATTTTTCGAATCAAGCATCTAAAACTATTGAATAAATTTGTAACTTGTAATAGTCGATAACGAATTATTAACAAACTATTTTTCACAATAATTTGCATTTAAATGACATTATATAAATATAATGTAATTGTTTTTTAGAATTAGAGTGATGGGTGATTTATCATTTATTTATATACAACCTTATTTCATTGATATGTGACCCCTCTTATTTTTTTAGTTTATTTAACTTTAAAAAATAATCATGAACGCTCAAAAATAATTTCAACACCTTTATTATTATAAAATCAATATATAATGAACCAAAATTAATTATTAAAATGTATATACTTTAAAATAAATATTTAATTTCTTTTCAAAATTTTTGCCCTACTATGCTAAAATTTTTCGCCCAGATTTTTCTTAAAAATTTGGTAAGGGAGGGGAAGAGGGATACGATTTTTTATATATTATCAACAAATATGATATCTATAAAATAGATTTTTTGTAAATTAAAAATATGAATAAATTTTTCATTTAATTATATTAAAGAATGTAACAAATATAATACTACCGATATGTATACAAGTTAAAAAATATAAATATGCTTCTTTTTCTTTGGGCTGTATTTTTTTTAAAAAAGATATCCGCTCGTGATGATTCCTTTTCCATATTTTGATATATGGATTTGGAATCCAATCTGATATCGAAGATCCTTTAATATTTATAAACAGAATTTCTAATATAAAAAAATTATCTAATGAAATTTATTCATATCACACTTTCAAAACTATCTATTAGATGAGACTGCATGATGCTTTCTAGAGAAATTATAAATTGGCCCTTTTCTCTCCTACTAGTTTTGAATTTATTTAGGAACATATTTAAATAAAGTGGAATTTCTGAAACTCTCGAAATCTATAATTTGCCTATATATAGAATCGACATGAGAGAGGGGGGTAGGACTGTTGCCTTTGATTTTTTTGAAGGGGGGAAGGGTAAAGCAAAAATAAACACTATTTATTAATTAAATATAAAAATAACTGATAAAAATTAATATTAATTTCTCATTCATTTACAGATAACATTTTAGAATAGTTTGATGTTACATCGTGTCTAATATTTAGAATACGGTTAATAACAATTAATTGATTATCATTAACTAATGATTATTTGTTATTCCTAGTCTAAATAATTCTGAGGCCTGAAAGAGTTTAATTATAATTATTTTGAGGTTAAAAATGGTGGTAAATGGTAAGATTTTGAAATTAATATCATGAAGTTGTTAGAAGATATTAAGTTGGTAAATATCATGGTCGAAGGCCGCAAAAATTTTTTAGGGGGTAGGGGTAGATTTCTGAGGTGGTTTGCCTCCAATGAAATATCTATCATGTAGACGGTGCCTATATATTATTTTATTACTGTCACCATGTTCCTAATGAATTTTTTAAAATATAGGCAATGAATAAAAAAAAATGGTTAATTGGCAAAAAAAACAACAAAGAACCTGATAAAAAATATCACAATTTATCATTTCCTACAAAGTAAATTGATTTATCCTAACAATTAACAACCTACCTGATGAAGTAGTATTTTAAGTACCTATCTAAACATTTGAAAGATTTTGGTAAAAGTAGACTATTTCTTTTCCAGTAATTTGTTAAATAGGCGAAATGTAAATCCTAACAGTCGAAAAATTCGTTAACCCTTGAGGCAAGTGTATTTTCAAGATTGGGCCTAGGATTAACTTAAAAATTCGTTAGGGTTGGTTCAAAACCTGTTAAAAATGAATAATTTATCACCACTGCTTGATGGTGGTGAACCTCACTCTAACTTTAAATAAAGCAGAGGTGACTTATAAAATTTATAAAAAGTGATAATAAAATATTGAAAAGACTTTTTCCCCTCAATCTTCTATGTGGCTATAAAAAAAATGAAAAAGATTGACTATATAAAAATTTTAATTTTTACAATAATAAGGAGAAAAGAGATTTATATTTAATACTTTTGAAAAAATATTCAAAATTTTTGGTGGTGGGAGTGGGGGGGGGGGGGTCAGCTTCTACACAAAATTTGGAAAGGCAATAAGAAAACTATCTTCTATCTCTTTAACCTTAAACTATTATTATATTATCGAAAATAAACGTACATACAAAAACAAAACATAATTATGATATATAAACCAAGAGGGAAAAATATCTTTCTAAAATATGATAGAAATCTTTTTATTTGATGAAAAAAACATAAATAAAATTAGGAAATCTATAGGGGAAATTTCCCCTATGTTACATCTCGACCTAGGATATATTTTATATATAATAAATGATGTTAAATATCAAGAGATACTCTCAACGGAATACTGATCCCATCACTTCAGTTATTAGGACAAGAAGTAGATTACATTTCTCTGCAAGGTTGAGCTTCTTGTTATATGTTAAATTTACAAAAACGTTGCAAGATCATAATATTCATCTGTTACCATTTTTCATATTACAATTTTATAAAAACGGCTTACTGATGAGAGCTCTTAGAAAGCATGTTGAATAAAGAATTACCTGAAGAATAAATTATTAATATTTAAAAAGATATCCCAGAATATGTGCCAGAATCTTATTATTAATACAATGTCATAATGAATAGCCACAGTTATAAAGACAAAGGTAGATGAAACCAGAGGTGTATTGCGAATGAGGAAGGGGCTAAGAACCTTGCTAACCAGCTTTCTCTTCTAATTTTAATTCAACTCGTAATAATTTAAATTTCTGAAAAAATAATTTAATGAAATATATTGATAATTTCGCAACAACCATTTTTATGTTAAATTGACCATCGTCCATACAACTTGATGGACAGTATAGTCCCGATAATTAATAGTCTGTTAAAAAATAAAAATATTATGCGGCAATACTCCATATTTTTTTTAGAGATAAGATACTTAATCTTTTTGATAATGAAGTTTTTTTTTAAATGATCTTGCAAAGCTATACAATTTTATAGTCATTATCACACAAATAGAGGTAGTGGAATCAAGCATTTATTCATATCAGGGAGATCTCTTAAGGAACGAAATTATAGAGATCGAACAATATATAAAAAACCCGGAAAGTTTTCTTGACCCAATATATTATGGATTTGAATTTAAAGATAATGAAGTTGATAAAGGATTAGATATAATCAAACCGATTTTCGGGATATCTAGATTTAGATTTTGCAAGACAAATGACAGATTGCTCGATTTCAGAGATCTGGAATCGCTTTCATCTTTAGGCGAAGATAACGAATTAAATAATATATTAATAGACTATATATTTTTAATAAAACATGAAAAAAATCAATATTGACCTATAAAATAATTTTTTAAAGGAAATATCCCGTTTTTTTCTAAAATTTCTCTAGAAATTTGCATCCCTAATCCTAGGTCGTTTGCATTCATGCACCGTCATATCTTATATCATCCGGAAACTTTGGTTGTTAAGCAATCAAGATGAATGCTTTCTGCTCAAAGTCTATAACCTTATATCGTACAGACCCAAAAAGATTTGGAGTCACTTTATCACGCGCCACTTTGTCATAAAACACTTTATACGACGATATTTTATCACGGCGACACTTTATCATATGTGGACGCTTTATCACTCAGTAACTTTATCACGCGTCATACACTTTATCACGCGACACTTAAAAACTATAAATAAGAAAATTTAAGTGTGGTGTTTTTGTTATCTCTAACATTTTTAAAAGTTATTGCCCATATTTCATGCAATTAAATATTTTATAAATAATTTATATTTTTTACTCGTGATTGATATATTGATTTATAGTTATTTATTAATAAAAAGTATAAATTGAAATCATTCTTATTGCTTATGTCCATATTTCTTTATTTTTAAAGGACACAAAATTTTGATTTTAAAAATATTTTTGGCTAAAAATTTTACAAAAAAAGAATAATGGAAATTAGATTTTAAATATAAAATACATGTAATGGTGCTTTTCTATATAAAATTCTATTCGTAAAATAGTAGATTATAAAAGGTGTTCTTCATATTTTTTTGTCCAAATAAATTAATTGAATTTCAAAAATTCAAACTTTTATGAAAAATAAATAAAATGATAACTCACTGTTAACTGGCTCGATTTGATAATTAAGTTAAAAAAATTATACTTATGAAAATTAAAATATGAGTATTTCTCATTTAAAACCACCTATCCATGAAACCTTAATTAGAGATCAAATTAAATAATGATAATCATAAGACAACAAAACCCTTATCAAATGGTAAAGCTGTTCATTCTGTCATTGATCAAATCGTACTAAAAATAATAATCCCTCTTTAAAGCGTGGTCTCAGAGTTGTTATATGCCCAGCCAATTTTAGAGATCAAAATTCCCTTATTAAATGGAAAAACTTTTTTAAATTCATTTTTAATATATGCTTATTTGTTTTTTAATGTATATATTTTTATATATCCTATTTTAAAATAAATAAAATGATTATTAAAAAAAATTAATTAAAATTTTTTAAATATAGGAATTTAAACGGAAACGTCAAAAAATGAGATATTATCAAAATTTAACTTTTCAAATATATTAAATTAAGTTTTAAGTATATCACGATAAAGTGCCGCATGATAAAATGTCGCGTGTTCAACTGTTGCATGATAAAGTGTCGCGTTATCAAATGACTGAGTGATACAGTGTCGTCATGCTAAAGTGTCGTCGTGATAAAGGGCCGCATGATAAAGTGTAGCATGATAAAGTGTCGTCGTGATAAAATGTAGCTAAGCGCCCAAAACATATCAAATTTTGAGTTGTGGCTGAATATGGTGTTTAATTATTACTCGTGTGTCCAATTTACGTATTTTAAAGCCCAGCCCTAAATAAAAAAAAGTTATAAATTGATTTAAAATATAATTTAAAAAAATAAATAAGCAGACGATATAATTTATAAAAATTAAATTCTAATAATTTTTACATAAATTAATATCAATGAGGTGAGGTAGTATATATATATGTTAGCGGCAATGTGAGGTAGTGGTAGGCAATGT